CAATCTATTAACCGACAAACCAACCAACAAACCAATCAATCTATTAACCGACAAACCAACCAATCTATTAACTAACCGACAAACCAATCACAACCATTCTACAAACCAACCAATCTATAAAGTAACGGACAAACCAACCACAAACCATTCTACAAACCAATAAAAATTGACGAACCAAACGACCAATCAGTCAACCATCAGACGACGTGAAAAAAGGATTACTAAATACAACGCATGGAAAATGATYTCTCTACTGTGGCTTGATGAATTACCTGAACTATCTACTTTGTCCATGTTGACAGCATTTGGAGAAAATACAGCATGATCGAACTTGAGATTCTGTGAACAACAAACGGACTGCTTTTATTGTCACGGACACTAACGATATGCTGTTAGAGCCCATGCACACAAAGCACACAGCAGGAAACAGAATTCATAGACTAGAGCAATATGTCTATGACCTGATCTTGAAAAAAATTATTCAAACTAATCGGTCTGAGTTGGAAATATAATTGTTAACAATTATATTTGTTAACAACAACAAACGGACTGCTTTTATTGTCACGGACACTAACGATATGCTGTTAGAGCCCATGCACACAAAGCACACAGCAGGAAACAGAATTCATAGACTAGAGCAATATGTCTATGACCTGATCTTGAAAAAAATTATTCAAACTAATCGGTCTGAGTTGGAAATATAATTGTTAACAATGTTACGAGTTACTCTATTGTAATGAATTGGCTGCTCATCTACTAAACCACTGAATCAATGATACATGAAGGATTGATGTTGAATGGAAGACTTTATCTGTTATCGGACGTGACTGACATACTTACAATTAACGGCCTTAGTAAGCCATGTGGATCTCGTCCTCCAGTCAGATTAAACAACAGAATACGGGCAACAGGACCACTAGTATAAAATACATGAATGAATTATTCAATATGTACGTACAGGTCTGCATGGTTCAAGTGTTTCAAGTGGGTAGGCTAACTCGCGACCAGAAGACTGGATCCAGAAGGATGGAACGAGTATGGGGCCAGGAATTTTGAACCTCAGAAATGTAGCACTTTGATCGACTTTGGGAAAATTATTGGGGAGGCTACAGTTCCCTCCTTAATCTGTAAACTCAATTGACAAAAAAATCGACGCAGTATTTTTGCTGAGCAAGTAAAACATGTAGCAGAACTGGCTTTTAATTTAGTTTTCCTGTTCAATAATGGCCAATACTAAAATAATAACGTCATACTTTGTATCTGCTACTTCCTTATCTGCTTGCTGTTTGAACCACTCTACACATGCCTGAAAACAGACAATCAGTCAGTCATTCATTAATTTGTCAGTCCATCCATCAATCCGTCAGTCCATCAGTCTGTCTRTCCTCAGCAAGTCCATCGTAATCCATTATAAGTCAGTTAGACAATATAAATGACATAATTACCTCCATGCTTCTAGGTGTATGTGCACCGTCAAGGTAGAATGTTATACTTGGTCGCTTGATAGTCTCAGTTCTTCCTCGCCACACTGCACTTTCTAAACCTGCAGGGACAAACAGTACTTTCTTGCAAATAAGCCAATTGGCAAACCATGGCATAGACATGCCACAGCAAATTCTCGTAATTTGTTAATATTACTTATGGTAACTTTAATAATGTTGACAATACCAATATACTTGTGGTACTAAGTCTTTGCAATTATGTATGAATTAGCGCGTTCTTAAGTTCTAAGCGACTGGTGCTGTTATACTGTGTAATTTTCTCGGTAAAATTCATCATGATGCAGTTTCTCTAGGTAAGAATGGTGGGCACTTCATGTCTTTGCATTTACATTTTTTTCATTTTTTTTCAGGTTTTGAGTAAGTACACTGGCAGACAAAGTGTCGTTTTACAAGTTAGACAACTAATAATAAATATAGTGCAAGGAAGGAAACGAAAACTATAAAATYTAAAACGTTGTTGGATACTAAAACAATTAGACCTCTCACTCTCATGGGCTACGTTCAATAGCCCATTCGGGCTTCGGTCTATAGTGCAAGGTAAACAAAAGAAAACAATGGAAGCAGCACAATCTAATACTTTTTTGCAGTTCTTTTTTTGGTGCAAAGTTAAATTACCATAATATTACCTTTCCTCATTTCGTCTGTAATTTCAAAGGTTGGCGCAACTAATGAGTCTATATGTCTTGGTCTTTTTGGAATTGGTTCTTCATCTACTTGAGGGTTGTTATTGGAGTTATTAACTATGAGAATTAAAGAGATTCTTTACTGACTAGAAAAAAACCATAAGCATATCAAACAAACAACAACAACAACAACAACAACAGCTACAACAACAACAACAACAACAACAGCTACAACAAAAACAACAACAACAACAACAACAACAACAGCTACAACAACAACAACAACCACAACCACAACAACCACAACCACAACAACAACAACAACAACAACAACACCGACAACAACAACAACAACAACAACTACAACTACAACAACAACAACAACAACAACAACAACAACAACAACAATAACAACAAAGGATTGCTTAGTATTTACTATATTTTATGTTTGGTTATTTAATATAAATCAATGAAAGACTAATGAATTTTCAGCAATGTCAAGCCCATAGGTTTACAATATGAATGTCAACGATACTTTGCTTGTGAATATTATGTCAAAAATAATACCATCATCATCAAAATACATTGTTTGGAAATGATGGATTGCATCTCCTGTACCTTGTTTCCTATTCTGTAGCCATGTATATGATAACTGTAAAGCCATAGATGCATTCACATGTTGATGTTTACCAGATACTCCTAAAACTATCAAATGGAACAGCATTAATAGACACAATACTTTTATTTATCAAAATGCCTGAAAACTAAAAAAAATAGGACTTGCAGCTAAAATACTCCATGTCAGAGATATCAGTAAAAGACAAAAAAAGAAAAGAAACTGAAGCGAAAGAAATCAAAACTATGCTAAAAGAAAAAATAACCATACACGCAGTAAGATCATGGATTCCAGATACTAAGTATAGTTTACAACATGAGCGGCCGTGTTGTATGGGAATTACAATCTCGAGCCGCAGGCGAGAGATTGTAATTCCCATACAACACGGACGCGAATGTTGTAAACGACTTATAAAACTCCAACACAAATTAACATGAATTACAGTGAGATAAATGACGAAAAATGACAAATAAGGTAACTGCTGAGTTTAGTCCCTATTAAGCATGCGCAATTTACTGCAACACAGAACATTTTGAATAATTATCCATCCCACATGGAAAGCAAGCCATCTGTTGCATAAGCGAGTTATCCATCTTTGATTGCTTCAAAACCTAGTGAAGGTCTATGATGCGACACGAAAACTGAGACCTTTGCTAGTGTTGGGTTGTCTCAATGGTGACGACCGTGTTGTAAATCTGATACAACCACTAGTGGTTGTATCAGATTTACAAGGTCAATCACCTGATTAAATGGTCAGCCCTTATTGGAGCAATAGCTTATGCATTATTAATAAGTTTTATAATGCCAGTAACTATACATACCAGGTAGAGGTCCAGGGTAACTCTCCAGTCTTGGAATCACATGCACTGAGTTCTAACAAAAAGAAATTAATCAAAGATGTAATTAAATTCCAAATCAGTGTGAAAAATAATGGATGTGTGATGGACTGCAAAAACATTTTCTTTGCACACAATGCTTTACTTACTTTGATTTCCCTTGCTCTTTCTCGTATTACATCAAGGGCACTCTCTTCTTGTTCAACAGTAAATGCAGGAACACCAAGCTGGATGGTAACGTGTAATTATTAAAATACTTATTGATAATTAACTTTTTTGAGTACTTATAAAATTATAACGATTAGTCTAATCTTCCCTCATGTTATTATGCATGATGGATGATAAACAGTAATTGTCCCTCATGCTATTCATGAGGGAGGGATGTTCACTTGTAAACATCCCTCGGAGGACAAAAGAATCCCAGGTGATCATGGTATTATATAATATACATGCATCATCCCAAAAATTTCGGGCTTGAACAGCAATTGAACCCATTCATGACCCCTGCGATGTGCTCTACCAACTAAGCTATGCAGCCAACTATGTTGACGGCAGGTGGTGATATTTTTGGGTGAACCCATACACAGATAGCAATAGATGCTGAAATGATGGTTTGAACTGCAGTGAATAAATGTGTAAGGAAGTGTGATTGTCACAGTCACATATAAATACCAATATCAATAGCAATTGTTTATTTGACTAGAATGATGAATAATAAAACAAACCTTAAAAATGCCAGCTTTTTGCCAAGCAATGCTTTCTAATGTGCCACCAAGAGTTTCAACATGATCCATTCCTAGTGAAGTCACACCACAGACTACAGGTTTTCTATCATCATCAGAGACAATATAATGACAAACTGACAATCTAAATTTCATATCCTATAATGTCCATTATGGAACCTAAATATTACATAAACTACTAGATAGTGATGGCATGATGTCATACAAATGGTTTTCTATAACCATATGGCAAATGACATGACCAATTTTTTCTAGACTGTACTCAAAGCACATCATAGAATGATTCTTTTCCTTTCATATAATATTAAAGAACAATAWATTGTTTTTTAAAGACTCTTTTCTTAAGGTTAACAATTTATAGAACAACAACAGCAACAAATAAACTATCCAACATATYAAAAACATTACCTGATGATGTTAGTTGAATCATATGCACCACCAATTCCAACCTCTACTACAGCAACATCAACCTGGATAATCAAGTTAGCATTAGCCTGAATACTACACAAAAATCACATTCTATTATTATCTAAAGTACCTTTTCTTTCAAAAATACATAAAATGACATAAGCGTCAAGAATCTGAAGTATGCTGGCATTTTAGAACTGTGATGATCATCCTGAACAATACACAAAATACAAATTATTAACATCTGGTTGTTCTATATAAAAAGTCTAGACACATAATATCACATATTATAAAACTTTTGACATATAAGGCACGCTCTGATTGGGTGACAACCGTGTTTATATCAGAGGACAGAGACACGGCTTACCGGCAAAATTTGCTTTTTGCTTGAAAAATTTTATAAAAGAAATATAAAACRGCYGMTTGTGTCTCTGTCCTCTGATATAAACATGGTGGGAGTTYGAAAAACACGAGAGAAGCAAGCTTAGGAACAMGAGCGTAGCGCTAGTTTCCATCATTTAGGCATTGCTCATTAGTTAATGTGTGTCTTATTGTTTGTTGGTCCTTAATGCTACTAAGCACACAATACACACCGCTGTGGCTTGAAGATTGTCCCAACAGTCAAAGAAGTATTTGGTAAATAGATCCTTGCTTAGAGGCCTTCCATTGAGTCTAATTCTTTCCCTTACTTCAATCAGATGTGGTGAACTGAAGAKGCAATATCAATAACATTACTTCTAGAACTCATTAATAATGCATGAGCTATTAGTCCAATGAGCATCGAACTATTGGGTCACATGATGGGCCTTTATATTCAGATAAAGCACTGATGTTTGGGAGAGTTGAAAACACTGACCCCCGGTCCGCGGACCCCTCCATGGACCACCTTCACGGACCACCAATGAAAACATTGCAAATGCCAAATAATAGATTTGACAAGAATTATTTTGCATTTGCTCATCCAATAAAGGGTGTTAAGTTAATGATTTGTCTTGTCACAGTTGTCACGTTGTCGGTCGGCCGCATTGTCACGTCAGTAGTCTTCTATTTGTTTGTTTTTTTTGGAACCACAATCACTCGTGCTTCGATCTTAAGCTTTCCACATTATAGATTGAAATTTAAACAGCTTGATTTATAGTGTGCAGATTTGCATTAAAAAAAAAATCAAATGAAAATATAACATGTAGAGGACTGGCGTGACAAAGGTAAAATCATTAACTTAATGCACAAGTCAATTGAAAACCMHGTCCCCAACTCCCAGAACTAGCGGAGTATTAAATAGTGACATGCTTTTATCAGCAGGATTGGCCGGGGGTCTGGATTTTGATGAATTGTTTTTGAAGCGGGATTTTAAATCTCATTTGGACATTTATGAGCCTGGAAACCGTAGAGGTCGACCAATCTTGAGAAATACTCTGAAAGCATAGGTATTCAACCTTGTTTTGTATTTGTTTGAAAGGTGTTTGTTTTGTTATTTACTACTAGACCAAAATAGGGGACAAGTCTAGCGGGGATTTTACCAATGAATGGGCCTGGGGTAAACGTCTTATTTCAACGCCACTCAATCATTAAATTCACGGTTTTTCCCGGGGGTTGGGAAGCGAGCGTTTCAATTGACTAGCATGCATAACACCCTTTATTGGATGAGCAAATGCAAAATAATTCTTGTCAAATCTATTATTTGGCATTTGCAATGTTTTCATTGGTGGTCCGTGAAGGTGGTCCATGGAGGGGTCCGCGGACCGGGGGTCAGTGTTTTCAACTCTCCCCTGATGTTTTATTAATCAGTTCTATATCAGATATTTCAAAAACTTATACATAATTAATGAGTTATTAGGCCAATAGAATGAGCCTATTTGGTCACATGCATGGAGCTTTATATCTGATAAAACACTCCTTATTAGTATTCTTTATATAAAGA